ATTTTTATTGATCAAAGTTACAAAAAAAAAAAAAAAAAAAAAACGTTAAACAGATTTCCTTATGCGACCTGAAAAAAAAACAGAATGGGCATCGGCACCGATGGGCGGGCCACCGAACCGTTGCCACACTCACGAAAAGTTAGCAATAAACTAGCCGATTGCTTTAAGCCATGGAGTTTCAGTTCGATACATAAATACCCACCGTTTATGCCCGGTTCTATTCCTTCATTAAAACTCTGAGAATGGTTCATCTCTCAACTGCAATGATTCATTGATGACTACCCGACATTGATATCATATTGTTTTTGTTTTTTCTTTTTTGGGTAGTCGTCATATTCTCTTCCTTCGACAGGGATAGATTGCGGCTCTGAAACAATGGCTGAATCACGTAGTGTAACAGTGTTTGCCCTGGTTATTTGCCTTCTGGTTTGGAATGGTCCCTTAGCTGAAGCAGCTCCTGAAAAAGCTTTGGTGACCCATCTTCCTGGATTCAATGGCACACTTCCTTCTCAACATTATGCTGGGTAATTTAATGGAATTTCAATTAAAAGAGCCATCACTGTGTCACAGTTTCTCTTAAAGTCTTAATTATCTGCTTCTCTATTTTTCGGGCTTTTGGGTTCAGATATGTTACAGTAGATGAAAATCATGGGAGGCATCTGTTCTATTATTTTGTGGAATCTGAAGGGAACCCTTCTAAGGATCCTGTTGTTTTGTGGCTTAATGGAGGACCTGGTTGCTCTAGCTTCGATGGTTTCGTGTATGAACATGGTAATTTCAACAAATTTCTGTAATTTTTTTCTGATATCATCTAAGAAGACTAGCTCAAAACAATGGATTTTCCATTAGGACTGATACCTTCACTAAGTTGACTCATTATATCAGTGAATGGCTGTGAAATGGCTGCAGTTTATGTTGTCTTATTTTGAATCTGATATCAGCATTGCACAGTTACAGGAGTTTGCTTGTATCTTGTGAGCATTTTAGTATCTCTTATGACCTCAACTTGAGATCAGTTTTCGTGTTCTTTGTTTGACTGGGATTAGGTGTTGTTTTTGTGCATGGGAAAGATGATACATTGGGTTGATAAATAATTTATTTCTGTATTTTGCGATAAAAACTTATTTCTGTATTTTAGATGAGTGGTCTCAATTGGCAGAAAATTTCATGTTTTTTCAAGGAACAACGCAAAAAAACCAATAAAGTACTAAACTTCAACTTGCTATCTGATGAAACAAAGTACACTATGTCTTACCTAATAATGTCTAGGTTGCATTTTTTGTGGACCTGTATTCTTGATTATCTGGTGTATCTCTTCCAATTTCAAAGTCGTGGGTGTTGTCTGTTTGATTTAGATGGAAATGAAATTGTAGGAGTAGCGGAGTTAGTGAAACCATGTCTTCATTCTTTATTTTGGTTCTGGAATTTTTAGTTCTTTTATTGCTTCCATATGGCAGTAGCAGTCATCGAGTTCTCTTGTAGGAGAGCAATTTGCACTGCCTATGTTTATTCTAATCTCTCTTCTTGTTTGGCTTTTGCTTGGGAACATATAACCATATTCTGTGAATAATCCACAGGCCCATTCAATTTTGCATTGGCTAATAAATCTGGAAGCTTGCCACGTCTACATCTCAATCCATATAGTTGGACAAAGGTAGAATCCCTGAATCTTAATGATTCCATTTTATTTCTACGTTTTAGTTGTTGCATTTGCAAAGTGTTGATTTAGATGAATTAAACTATTAATCGACATAATTCATTAGTGGGTATTTGCTACTTTCTATGTCGTTTGATTTTCGGATGAAGAAATGGATTGTTATGTTAAAAAATATTAAGCTTTTCTTTTAGGTTTCAAGTATCATTTACATGGACTCCCCTGCTGGTGTTGGGCTTTCTTACTCGGAGACTTTGGACGATTACAGCACGGGTGATCTGAAGACTGCTTCTGACTCGCACAAATTTCTCTTGAAGGTTGATTTATTCTTTCACTAAAATTCAGAGATGACCAAATGAAAATATGAAATTCAAAAGAAGGAACACATAATAACTATGTATGTTCGATATGAAAAATTGATGGAGATGACTTTTAATCGGCTTTATTTTTCTTGCAAGCAGTGGTTTGAGCAATATCCAGAGTTCATTGGAAATCCATTTTACATTTCTGGAGAATCGTATGGTGGAGTATATGTACCAACTCTTGCTTCTGAAATAGTTAAAGGTACGTACTACTGGATATATATCAATTTCTTTTGGTGTGTGGTTTAAGTAATGATTAAAATCAGAAAACATTAACTAATCAGAAAGAAAAAACTAACCGACTCAAACAATTCGAACACATTTTTTTCCTGATTCAAGTTCCTCTTATGTGTGGCAGGAATTGAGACTGGTGCAAAACCTGCTATAAATTTCAAGGTGAGGCCTTTCAGTTTTACCATCTCATCCTCTGGTGCCAATTATAATATATCTTTCTGCTAGTTGTTTGCCTAAAACTTTGAAATTTACTCTTGCGATTATTTCAGGGTTATATAGTGGGTAATGGAGTCACAGATACAGTATTTGATGGTGATGCCCTTGTACCGTTTGCTCATGGAATGGGCCTGATATCAAATGATCTTTACCAGGTTCTTAGTGATCCCTTTGATGCTATTCATCATTGCTGTTTCATTTGTCAAGTTGTGGTTTTTTATTATCTAATTTTATGCTTGCCTATGTAGGATGTTAACAAAGCTTGCCATGGGAGCTACTGGAATCCCTCCAATGAAAACTGTGAGAGCAAGCTGAGCAAAGTCGATAGAGCAATCAGCGATCTAAATATATATGACATCCTCGAGCCTTGCTTTCATAGTAGTGCAATTAAAGAAGTTGGATCCCATCAGAATCGTTTGCCTTCTAGTTTCAGGCTATTAGGTGAATCTAAGAGGCCCCTTCCTGTGAGGAAAAGGATTTTTGGGAGGGCTTGGCCCCTTAGAGCTCCGGTTAGAGATGGGTTAGTTCCAACTTGGCCGCAGCTTGGCAAAAATTTGGTTCCCTGCACTGTAAGTAATAAGCATTTCTTAAAGATTTTTTATTTTTTTTAGAATGTTAACATTGTATTGAGTATAACGTACAAACTGTTACAAACTTTGGCCCCAAAAGAATGGGGACTGTGTACATCCAAAAAATGAGGCTCACCTTAGGGGAGCCCTATACAAAAAAGGAAGAGTCGAAGGGGCTGGACACTCCTTCAGTTGGAAATGATGACTGAGGCTGCAAAAACTTACTCAGTGACATAAGTATTAGCACCTTCTTTCGCTAGAGTGTCTGTGTGTGAATTACTTTCGCGCCAAACATGTTTCCAAGAAGTCAAAAGGCCCGAGCACAGGTGCGCAATTTCTTCGAAGATGTATCCTAGAGCCCAAGGGTAGGGGATGGAAGCAGAGGCCACGCGAATGACATTATGCAAATCACCTTTGGCGATAAGGGTAGAGGGCCAACTGTGGTCGAAGAGTCTAAGGCCTTCAAGAAAAGCAAGAGCTTCCGCTGTTTGGGAGTCAAAATGTCTGATGTGTTTGGAGTAGGAAGCCAGGATTTGGGCTTCATGGTTCCGAAACAAGCCACCAATAGCGGCCGGTCCGGGTTGCCCAGGGAACACCCATCAAAATTGAACTTGATGGCTCCAGGGTTAGGAGGAGTCCAGTGGGATGTTCGGGGAACCCCGTGGTGCGAGAGATTAAGGAGAGGTAGCCAGTCATGGTGAAAGGCCAAGAGGTGTCTTCCTTTGAAAATTTTATGGTTGGATTATGCCCAAAAAGTCACCAGAGATTTGATCTTGTCAAACAAAACTACGGTAGACTGGTATTTTCCTTGGAAGATCCGATGATTACGCTCGATCCACACAGTCCAAAGGAGCGTAAAGGTTGAAGCCTTCCAAAGGAGAATGCCAGGCTTAGGCCAAGGGTAGGGCTGGAGGGAGGAAAATAACCGGGGGATGGATTGGGGAGTAATCCTTTGCCAGTGAAAGAGGTGAAGAAGGAGGCTTAAATAACTGACACCAAAGTAATTCATCTGTGTTTGTGCCCCAATTGATAGTTATATAAGAGTTGTACTTTCATCTTGGTTTTGTGACCTCTTCGCTCCAAATTGTCATGTCCCCACTTGTAATGTCTATCTTTTCTTTTCTACTGAATTTTTGTCGTTTATGCAACAACCTATAGCATATTTTAGTGTCACTGAATCCACAATCACATCGATAACCACTTCATATTTCAGGGTTACTATTGATAGCCATGCAAAATCTTTTGAGCCATGGCATCACAATATTAGTTTAACTAGCTTGTGTCAGCAGCTCACCTGGTAGACTTGAACACTTTCAGAGTCCTATCTTTTGGGAACCACGCTTTCACTATTGCCCTTTCTAGTGTTTGTAATTGTCAGTTGTATTCCTTTCATTCTTCATGGTTTATTTCATTCATTCTTTTTCTTTTTTTGATATATCATAATTCATTTCATTTGTTTAGCATCACATTTATTCAATGGCTTTCATATGGTATCTGAGCTTGCTCAATTTGTTGTCTTGGTTGCACAAAGTGATAATCTGAGCATGCACCTACAGTTCCTACCATTGGAATCCTTTGTTCCAATTATTGTGGCTGACAAGGGCATGGGGTTCAGGGTGTTAGTTGCAGCTTGGTTAGAGAACTCAAAAACAGCCATCTTGCAGTGTATTTGCTATTGGGTTTGACAAGATGTGTTAATGGGTAATATTGTCACATACACTCGAACACAACACACATACATGCACACAGGCATGGGCAAACATTTATTTTTTAATTTTTGTACATTGTTTGCACTGTATTTTCTTCACTCAAAGGGCACTTTTGTACATGTATATCTGCCGAAGTGTAAAAGGGTCATTTAGTTTTAAAAGAGCTTTTTGTAGTCTATGTCGAAGGGCCTTGAGACAGATGAACATTCTCCTACGTCATCTTGTATTTTCTAGGATCTCCTTGCTCATCCTCCGTTTTTTTTTTGGATTCATCTTTCATTTTCTAACAAGATGGAAGAAAGGCGGTTGGTATTCTGGTCTTTGCTAGTGTAGGCATTTGGAAATGGGCTCAGGCATGACGCATAGATCTTCTTTCCTTGGGACTTTATTTTTGGTTGGAGGCCTGATACTCCATCTTAAGGGGTGAAGAAAGGATGGAGCAAATTCAAGACTCAAACTAGAGGTTTGACATAGACTAATAGGAAGGTTGGCACACGTGTTACGTTTGCAGAACAGGGAGGAGCTATTGTGAGGGGTCAGCAGATTTTTTATAGTGTTCGTGTCACCCATGAGTGTACTACTCAAGACACAAGAACGGAATGCCTGGGATTGCATGTGTGGTTGGCATGGAAAAAGGCAACGATTATGTAGATTGATGCCCTTTAGATTTTGTGATGAGGAAAATGGAGTATGGGAGAAGTGGAGGAAGTGGATTTCAGCCTGTGAAACCCTTCTTTGGTTTTTAGTGGTGGTGAATGGGTCACCACGAGGAATTTTTTGAGCATCTAGAGGTCTCAAGCAACATCATCCCACATCACCTTTTTGTTTATGATGGTTGTAGAGGTTTTCAGCAGTTTCCTCCGTAGGCAAGATGATCCCCTGTCACCTCCATGCAAGAACTCTTTAAATGAGATGTCACAATGATATTGAGAACCATGTGCCCTCATCTCCATGGATGCTCCAACCTTGAAATACCCTGTGGACATCCAGACTCATGCATGAGAGATTTGTGTAGTCCTAAGCTTCATATATTAAATTCCTTAACATTTCTCCTGAAAATGTAAGTTGTTAATGGAAATGGAAGGTTAGAGAGGTTGAAATATGTTGCTATTGTAGCTTAACACGGTTCATCCATTGGGTTCGAGCACATAACTCTATTGGAAGGAACATGTTGCCCTCTTTAAGGTTGAAGGTTCCACCAGCTACCAAAAGTAAAAATGTGAACTGATTCAGTTGCAGGCAACACAAACTTGGTCAAAATAAGCATATGCCTTCTTAGTCCATGTAATTCCATAAATAACAGTATTATACCTCTAGAAATCTGCAACATGTAGATATGGAGGTTGCTTGGACTTTATTTTCTTTTTCTTTTTTTGCAGAAGGTACAACAGTTTTTTCTGGACTTGTCTTAAATTCATTGTTGCAAATGATTTGAAGGAAAGAAGCTTTACATTACTTGGATTTTAAGCGAAATGCTTCAAATTTTTGAGATTGATTCCTTTTGACTCTCACGCCTTTATCTTGATTCTTGGATACTAGGATGACGAAGTTGCCCATGTATGGTTGAACGATGAAGGAGTCAGGAAAGCCATTCATGCCCAGCCGGTATTCTGGATTCTTCTCTTATATTTTTCATAAGAGTCCACTTTGGTAACCATTAACTCTCTCTCTCTCTCTCTCTCTCTCTTCTCTCTCTTAGGAAAAGGTTAGTGGATCATGGGAGATATGTACTGACCGTATCAGCTTTATGCATGACGCTGGAAGCATGATCAATTATCACAAAAATCTGACAGCTAAGGGATACCGTGCCCTCATTTACAGGTGATTCCTCTTCATTACAGAAATGCATTGCATAGTTTCATATGTGCATTGCCACATGCACTCTCGCCCTCTCTCTCTCTCTCTCACACACACACACGCACATAACATTCTAAGAAGATCAAATACTGTATTTGGCAGTGGTGACCATGATATGTGCGTTCCTTACACTGGGAGCGAAGCTTGGACACGATCTCTTGGATATGATATAACAGATGAATGGCGACCTTGGTACCTTAATGATCAGGTTGTGGGGTATGTCCTCTTTCCCACCTCCATTAGTATTTCCTACAGTCACATTTTAGTGATCCATATTTCTGAATTTATGGAAACAAATTGTTACTTTCTTTTGGCATTCCCTCAAAGTCTTTAGAGGGTGTGGATAAAAGGTCTATTTTCGCCCCCAACCCCCCCCCCCCCCCCCTCCCGGAGGGTCTGCATCCTGTACTATCTTATCAAATAGCATTGAGATTTTTTTTTCCTTTTAAGTTTTATTTTTTGTTTCTAAAAAATATGATTTTCATGATTTCCACGTACTGAACTAAAAGCTACCATTTTGTCACCGAGATCTATATCAAAAGTTATTTGACTGGACCTTGCCCATATAAAAAAAAACCATTGGCCTGTAGGCTCTACATTATGCAAACGTACCATGCTGGCAAATGGTAATATCTTTATTCTGGCTAAAAACTTTCTAAAATCCTAGGTGTGTGCTCAAGGAAAGTGCTTGTGTTCCTGCATATTTAAAGCAAAGACCTCTAAACTCTAATTACGAGAAACATTCTTTAATTGTGTTGAATTTAACCTCGAAAAATTATTTAGAAAAATAAGGAAAAGTTCAAATAATGGAGGCTCTCACTCTAGGTGCTGTTATACAGATTCACTCAAGGCTATGAAAACAACCTCACATTTATCACCATAAAGGTTCGTTGTACTTTTGCAGAGATGCTTTCAATTATTTCGATATTTGAAGATTAAATTGAAATTGGAATATATTTCCTCTTAAAATAGAGAGAAATGAGTGGGTAGTTATTATTAATCCCACCATTTTGGCTTGTGGTACAGGGAGCAGGACACACGGTCCCCGAATACAAGCCTCGGGAAGCTCTTGCATTTTTTAGCCGTTGGCTAGGAGGAATTCCAATTTAATTGCACCAAGTTATATTTATCCCTTTAATTTCTATTTTTCCATTTGTCATTAGCAAAATAATGGTTCTTGTACTGCAAAAGAAGATTCATCCTTTGAAAGTTTACAGAAACAATGGTAACCAACAAAATAAAAGAACTACTGAATATAAAGAAAACGTTGAAGAGCACATCTATGGTCTCAGTATCGATCTATACATGATCTTGTGAGTTGTGACAAAAATATGCTTTTCGTTGAGATTAATAAATTATAAGATCTTCGCAAGAGAGTACTCTCGCACGAGAAATTATACATTTGTTTGCTCCGGTGAAACGTCCACTTCGGACAATTTGCTTGATTTGAAAATTTGTGAATCACCTTAGAATCACCAGCTGAATCAGTATGTGATGTATATTCATATATTCCGACATGGAAATTGAATTATAGACCAAGCGATTGAAACAACAAAAGGGAAAATTCATCATGTAAATGTGATGAAAGAGGGAACAAGTAGACATGGCACTAGAGGTGTAATGAGAAGGCCCCCAACAGAAGAGGGCTTCTCTTGGACAACTTTTTAGATAAGTTTAGGTTAGATGTATTATCTATGTTTATGGTTATTAATAGGGACCGGTATATGCATGGTGTATTATCATCCATCGTTTATTCTGAATGTAGACGGCAAGATTAACCACAATTACCAATGACAGACATTCAATAGGATGTGGTTAATCTCCATTGTCCGTCAACAAGAATGTGCACTTAATCCCCAGTGATGTATCTTAAGTCCTTGGTGTATCATAAACTTGGAGAACTTGGATGAAGCTATTGTACTTGATTGAGTGTAGACATACCAGTTTAGATTCACAAGCAACAACCCTGTGATTCCTAGGACCATAAAAAAAACCTATATATCTTTTGTTTTTTGAAGTGTCTACTGTTTTATTCTGTTAAGTAGAGAGAAGTACAATCGATCAAAAAAAATAGGCTTGCGACATGCCGAGAGCTCTATACAAAAATATGAATATACTTCCCACACACAGGTCGGGAGCTCTATACAAAAGTATAAGGCAACTTGAAACGGGTAGCCCTATACAAAAAAAGTCACCGATCAGGTGAGAGGAAATGATCTAGGTGTGAAAAGTCCTCTCGGTTTAAGAGCTATGTAGAGAGGAGAGTCTCAGACCTAGGACCATAGAAAAGCTATATTCATAGGGGACATATTTCATTGAAGTCTAACACTCTTCATCCGGGTCCATTTTTCATCTATCACCCCAAGGATTATGTTTCTTTTTTTATTATTATTATATTTTCATATTTCACAAGTCATTGTGTCCTTTATTGGTTGGATAGCTATTATAAGCAAAGTTTCCTTATATTTTAGACACGTATCAAACTCCTCGCTTTTTTAATCTTAGTATTTCTTCTTATTCTTTTTACTCTTTTTGTTATTCTTATTCTTATTTTTACAATGCGAAATGCCTTACCTTTGAGTGGAGTTTGAAATTGGAAGTAATCAATTAGGTATACGACGAAACCTAGAAATCGATCATTGATCCAATTTGACTACCTCTACGGGATAGACCTCAACATAAAACTGAAGAGTAATGGTACCAGGTGATTGAGTTCAGTGGTTCCTCATGATCAATAGACCCCATAAGTAGAGTATGTTTTGCAATTTAGAAAGGATATCTGAGAAAATTGAAGCTTGAGAACAAGGTAGAAGTGGAAAACTCTGGTTGGAAACTCAAAACCCTTACTTGGTAACCTGTATGTAAAAATCGGCAAAAAGCTTGGGCTAGAGCTTGGACGAATAAAGATTGATAAGGGAGAGAGATCGTGAGGTTAGAGAAATAAAAAGGAGATAAAATGGTTCTTACGTTTCCCTAATTTTTTTGAGAAATCGGTGGTATCCATTGGGGTGGGCTGTAGTTTTCATAAAAAAAATGGGGAAAATTGTAGAAAAGCGAAGCCCTATTGCAAGTCTCCACATTTCTATACTTTTCCCTATTCCTAGACAAGGAAAAATATAGTAACTGATAAAACATATTGTTTTCTCCTGTTTTTTCAGTTACTAAACGGGGTTCAGTTTCCCTTTTCGGGTCAGCATCCTCTTTCATTCTCACCCATCCCAAGTTACTATTAAAATAAAAAAAAAAGAAAAAGCTAATATAAGGATGCAACCTTGTTTGTAAATATGAAATTGGATTAAATTACACCAACTACTTTATCCAAAAACAATGTAGATTTGACATTATCTTAAAAGACATACCACTTTTTTAAACCGTCTTAAGAAATGACTTAAAAAGAGAGAGAGACTCTACACCTATTTCAAAATTAAAATCTTTCTCTTTGTTGGCCGTTAGGTTTCGAACTTGGGATCCGGGACCTAGCATTGCAATTGTGAACATCTTTTTGCAATCAAAGCAAAACCATATATCCACCTTTTTTTTAGTTCCAAGTAGTGGAGCAAGGGCTTTGAAACTTTAAAAGAGTAGTTGCAATGTCGGACACCTTTAACCAATCAAGCCAAAACCCAAATCTAAAAAATGTTATCCTTATAACCATTACACTTGCCTTGTCATAGAAGCACCATTTCCATGGCCTGGTTATAGAAGCACTGAATGTTGTGTTGGGTTTTGGCTCACCCAGGTCTCTTATGAACCCAAGTGGGTATTTGGGTCATGTCTGAGAGTATATAGAAACCAATTCTGTTGACTTGGACTACAATATAAACAAAATACAAGACAATACAACTCGAAAGTTTTTAATAAACTTAAGAAAACAACTTACAAAATCAAATTATAGCAAAGTTACTATAACTACAACGATCTATTGACTTAAAAAATACGTTCAAATGAGATGATACAACTTAATTAGGGTCTCTTACACATGATCAAAACAAATGACAAAAAGAAATCATCAAACTACACTTGCATAATGTGCATTTGAAAATTCTGCACCACTCAAATTTATAAGGCAAAAATATGCATCAATTAACTCATCACAATATGATATCCATTACATCAACATACTAATGTTCAAGTGTGCAATGCCTCATGACTATGAGAAGCCAATCAGAGCTCTCGACTGTCCGGTTTACGGCCTTGGGTTTTAGCTATTTGCTTTTGGGTGACATGCGATGACATATCTCAAAATCATGTCAATTCATCACCTAACAAGTGAGAAGCCATACATCTTCTAATACATACTTAATACATGGAAGGATTTGTAGATATCTAAAGATCAAACCAAGCAGGAAAAACATTGGAGAAAATCGGGTTCTTAAAACACAAAATCGGTTCAATTTAGTTCACAATTCGGGGTACAAAATTTCAATATAGTCTCCTCTTATCAAAACAATAATTCAAGAGATCAAAATAAAGATCTAAGGGGCTGATATGATCATGAAAATCTCAGAGAAATATCAGCTAAAATTACTCCAAAATTTAAGGAGAAAAGCTCATGGAAACTATGTCAAAATATGCATAGAAGATGCCTTCAACTATATGGATCTAGGGAAATAAAAAAAGATTCAAAGGATCAATGATCGAATCATCAAAAGATGAAAAAATATTGTTGTAGTTGAGAATTTAGAATACGGATAAACTAAATGGACCAATGACAAAGAAAGAGATCTTACTCAGTTGTTGAAGGTTTGAAAACTAGATCATCCATGTGAGCTTTGGATTACTATTAATGGAGTAATAAATAAACTTCAATGGAGTTTTTTCTCACCTTAATTTTGAAGATAACTTAGAGAGGGAAAAGAAGAGGAGACTAAGCTTGCGCATGCCACACAATGGGAGGAGAGAGAGAGAGAGAGAGAGAGAGATTATAGCGTACCACTTTTGGAGAGAGAAAGGGTGATGTGAACTCATATGTGAAATGAAGGCTCAAGGGGGAATTTATAAGTTTCTAACCATTAAGTATGAAGATGCTTCTAGATTAATAAATCTTGGCCCTTCATGTCATCTACTAATGATTATAAAAATATACTTTATCCTAGCTCACTATCCACCATCATTCCATTAAAATGTGTAATATGAATTTAAACAACTTTATTATCACTTAATTCACTCAAATTTTCCTTGTTATTAAAATACTCATACTCTTTACATTTACTAAAAATAAGCCAAGATGGAGAGTACACCCTTGTGATAGTTTGTCAAAATTCTAGCAAAAGACAAATATCAAAAGTTTGTTCCATTTTATAAGAGCATGTGTGGCTAATGAAATCATACCCCATAAGCTAGGTGGTTAATTGCACATTTACTATTTACCCTTACTTTAAGCATTAAACATGTGTTAAAAATATTTTTTAAAAAATCTAAATATTTAATAAACTTATATATATAAAATGTATATAATATAAAAGAATAGGCTACAGGGGTCCCTTGAGGGGGTTGACGTCACCACACGTCGACCATGTAGGGTGACATGGGACCTCCCAAGCCACTACGTAGATACCTATTGGCCATTTAGGTGACCCTTGTAGGGCCTCGAGAACTGTCTCTGTTTGTCATTTCTTTCAAACATTTCAGAAAATGGATTTTTTTGCTCAAAAAATTCTAGAAACATTTCTAAACATCCACAAAAATTATTTTAATGATTTTCTATCAAAATAAATCATTTTGACATTGATTAAAAATATTTACAATGAAATTAAGATCCTTGGAGTTGAATTACGAAACAGAGCACTTCACTCGGCTAAACCTGGAATCCAAAGCCACCTTCTCGGTATGATCCAATAGAGTCATGACCCACAATGTATAATCAGACGCTCATGATCTCATCCTATCAAAGTCAAACCAGTGTATGACTCTGAATTCCCAAATATAAATGGATTTCAGGTGCACCCTATAGAGGACATGCACACACATGGTGCAGGGGTTCATCTCTTGGAAAATATGCATAGCTCTATCCATTGGACTCCTAGAAGAGCGGTTATCTATGCATTGCAACTAGATATGCACATACTACAAGAAGGTTCTAGGAGTCGGGTAATTAGGCCAATGTCCTCTATTGACCCTAACCTTCCTGTACATGGGTATATCACATAATCACATAAATTCATAAATCATATCGCCATGGCCCATCACACAGTCATGAAGCACAAACATAACAACCAACCATGAATAAGAGATAACCCTCTCATGTATGTAAATCCTCCTCATGCCTTTAATTGGCGTTCTATGACTCTCGGTCCTAGTGCAC